CAAGAATATATATATATATATATATTTATATATTCTGTGTGATGCATGAGTTTCTATTTCATGTTTATTGCAAATAAACACGAATTCATAATATAAAGTTAACGAGTTCAGTAGAATTCATAAAATCCGTTCTAATCTATCAAACTGTTCTACTATAATTTCTCTAGTCATTGTGCCAAGTGTTGTATGAGTTTGGTTTTTTGCATTTCCAACTTCTCTCTAGTATATGTAATTTAGTAGCATTGAGAAGAAGAAAAAGCCATAAAAATGTTGTCACGGTCTCACGGGAGTCTTGTCATGCTTGACTTGCCGTGTAGGCTTTTTAGTTACTAAATACGTAGTAGAAATTCTAGTTCATGGATTTTAATACGTATAGAAATACTTATGAAGGAGAATTCAAACACGTCAAGTAATATTGTAACTTAGCGAAAGATTTGCTACAATAAAGACAACGTTGTTTGTTGCTTTTCGACTTCTTAGGTTTCTGGACCTTTTTCAGATAAAAATATCATTTTACTTTTAACGTTATAGGACCACACAATACGTCATCCACCTGATCCAAGTATGTAATTAAATACATACAGGTGGTTGTCTATGCATGGCATTAAGGATAAAAATGGGGACAGACACTGAATCTTGGTGTTGTTTTAGCTTAAGGTTGTTTTAGTAGTAAGTAAAATAACAGAAGAGTTATTTTTCTATGTATAATAAATCAAAAGCATGCTACGTAATTGCCATAATACGCGTCCAAAATTAGTACGTAGGAGTTTACCTTTTACTATGCACTACAATTTGTTAGATTAGTTAGTATTTGATGGGAGTATTTGAGAACAGGTTGTTTTGTCCCTCGTTGGAAAAAGAAAGAAAGGAAGATGTGTTTAAAAGCACTTCTTTATCTTATATAGTTTGAATATTTTGAGAGTGTTTTGGAGGGAAATTGGAATTTGACTATATTATTAATAGTCAAGATTGGGCACTTGGGCACTTGAACACTTGGGGCTTTGGGCCAATTAAGTAGCCCGAATTAATATTTTAGCCACCTATTTTTTGATTAATTAAAAATGTTTTAGCCTTTTAATTTCAGAAAAACATTTTAATATTTTTTTTAAATTCAAAAGAAGGTGGCTATTGGTTTTAAAAGGTGCCTGTTATGTTCCAACAGACTCCTAGAGGTATTATAAATACCTATTTCATCTCCAAAACGAAATCATCTGAAAACTTTCATCTCTTTCTCTTCTACTTATTTTCTACAACTCACAACTATTTGTTCTTGTGGAAAATTCGAGTTAATTGCTGAAACTCGGATTTCAGAGGCTTTGTAGAATCCTGGAGGAATTCTGCCATAATCCCTGCATCAACGAAATTGGGAGGCTTAAATTCCTTAAGGACATTGACTACACTATCATGGCCTAATTATTTCGTCCCATATTCTATTATAAATTCTACCACAATTGGTCACTTAAAATCTGGTAAAAGCAGGTAATTTTGTATAATATCATTAATAGTATAAAAATTAATTACATTATCAGTATATCTTAACTTAAATCTAATTACTAAGTAACTGGAGCAGTCTACCAACTTTGTGTTTATGCAGATAACGATACCTCGTTTATATTGCTTTTTCTCCGATAGTACAGGTTAAACCAAAAGTAAGAAACTGATTTTCCAATATAGCAAACCTCCTTTATTTAAATCTAAAGTGAGAATTATTCCCACATGGGCGAAACGAATAATCGTAGATTTTAGGACAGCATCTCGTGGGTAATATAACTAAACTAGTTCAAACCAGACAATGGCATGATAAATGATTCCTTCACAGAATAAAATAATAGCGCACTGAATATTCATAAAATTCATGAATATTCTAATTTAAAAGAGAGGATTCTTTAAGATTGTCTTTTTATTTTTGTATATTGTTTTCGAAAATCTTCTAGAGTCTCATGTTTAAGCTGTTCGACGCCTTGAGTTAATTACTCTCATATTCCATCTTAACGGCTAATTAATGCATGTTCTCCCATAATATTTTTACAGTGTCAGAATCAAAAAGATGAATACACCTTTGATGGAAGTGTGGATAAGCATGGTCAGCCTGCCGTGCGAGCGAGGACTGGAAGGTGGTTTGCTGGTGTTCTCTTACTTGGTAAGCAAACTTTTACTATAAACATTAATTAATAATCGAATAAAAATGATAACCGAAATACCAACTTGTTGCTTGTTACAACTTTAACAGTTTCCTCTGTAATTAATTTCAGTGAATCAAGGTCTAGCCACGTTGGCATTCTTTGGTGTTGGAGTCAATCTAGTACTATTTCTGACTAGAGTTATGGGTCAAGACAATGCTGAAGCGGCCAACAATGTGAGCAAGTGGACTGGCACAGTTTATATCTTCTCTCTCTTGGGAGCTTTCCTCAGTGATTCCTATTGGGGAAGATACAAGACTTGTGCTATTTTCCAAGCCATTTTTGTGGCTGTAAGTCACTTTTTCTTTCTTTCTAAATGTCTCAACTCTGTCATTTCAATTTTGTACAGCTACTAAGATTTGATATTGCTTTGTTCTTGCAGGGAGTGGTTTCACTTTCATTGACTTCATACATTTTCTTAGTCAAGCCTAAAGGTTGCGGAGACGAAAATAACCCTTGTGGGTCCCACTCGACTATCAGTGTCGCGCTCTTCTACGTGTCGATTTACTTAATTGCCCTTGGGAATGGAGGGTATCAGCCTACTATTGCAACATTTGGAGCTGACCAATTTGATGAAGATCACCCTCAAGAGAGTCACTCAAAAGTGGCTTTTTTTAGCTACTTTTACTTGGCATTAAATCTTGGATCTTTGTTCTCAAATACCATCTTAGGCTATTTTGAAGATAAGGGAATGTGGACTTTAGGCTTTTGGGCGTCGGCTGGCTCTGCCATTTTGGCATTACTGTTGTTTCTTGTTGGGACACCTAGGTATAGGCACTTTAAACCTACAGGCAACCCTTTGTCAAGGTTTTGTCAAGTGGTTGTGTCTGCTACTAGAAAATGGAAAGTTCAACAACCTTCAAGGGGAGATGAACTATATGAGGGTGAAGGACAAGAACCTGCTGAAAATGGAAATAGAAGAATTCTCCATACTGATGGTTTCAAGTAAGTTATTTTAATTTAATGAAATTTAGTACTTAACTCTTCATTTTATATGACAGTCATTCCTTTTTATTTTGCTTAAAATAAGAATGACACTTTATATATATTTTAAAATTATTTAATGTTACGCTTTTCATCTTACCCTTAATGATATATTCTTATAGTCGCAAAAATATCATGATGTGTTTAAGACTATAAATTCTAAGGGAACTTAAAATATATGCTATATTTTCGTTAAATATTGTATCCAGTCAAACAACGTTATATAATTTGCATTGTTTTGATATACGATCTAGGTTTTTATTATTTGGTTTTTGTATTATAGATTCTTGGATAAAGCAGCTATAATCACATCAAAAGATGGAGAAAACAACCCATGGCGGCTTTGTGCAGTATCTCAAATTGAAGAAGTGAAATGCATATTGAGATTACTTCCAATTTGGCTTTGCACAATACTTTATTCAGTTGTATTTACACAAATGGCCTCTCTTTTTGTGGAACAAGGGGCTGCAATGAAAACAACTGTCTCAGGCTTTCATATTCCTCCAGCAAGCATGTCTAGCTTTGATATTCTGAGTGTTGCAGCATTCATTTTCATCTATCGAAGAGTTCTTGATCCCCTTGTTGCAAGATTAAAGAAGTCTGCTCCAAAAGGATTGACAGAGCTCCAAAGAATGGGAGTTGGACTCATCATTGCTATTATGGCAATGGTAGCAGCAGGATTTGTTGAGCATTTCAGGTATGATCTATGTAAAATGGGTGAATAAGATTATATTGAATTGATAAGCTAGTCAGGTCATAGTTTATTTAGGAATTAGCCGGTGCGTCCTCAGTTTTAATTTTTCAGGAAAAAATGTCCTAAAGTTAAGATTTTTAGTTTAGAAATTCAGGACAAAATAAGTACTGACTAATCCCTAAATAGCATCCTGAAAATGGCTATATGTGAACTTGCCCCTACATAGGTTGCCTAGATTGTCCCAATCTTTTAAATGGATTAACTTGGGCTATACAAAAATTGATAAATGCATGTCCAACCCAACTTGCACAAACTTGAACGGATTGTATTTTCATGGGCTAAATTTGATGTCAATTTTCAGGCTAAAATCTGGGGACAAAGATTGTTCAAGTTGCACGAATTCAAGTTCATTAAGTATTTTCTGGCAAGTTCCTCAATATGTACTTATTGGAGCATCAGAGGTATTTATGTATGTGGGACAATTGGAGTTCTTCAATGGACAAGCACCTGATGGATTGAAAAGTTTTGGAAGCGCACTATGCATGACTTCAATTTCACTAGGAAATTATGTCAGCAGCTTATTGGTTTCTATTGTCATGAAAATTTCAACTACTGATAAGATGCCTGGCTGGATACCTGGAAATCTCAACAAGGGTCATTTAGACAGATTCTATTTCCTTTTAGCAGCATTGACAGCAGCTGATTTTTTGGTCTATCTCATTTGTGCCAAGTGGTATAAGTACATTAAGTTTGAAGAAAGAAGCATTGAAAAGCAACATGGAGAGAAGCAAGGAGATTTGAAAGTCTAATAAGCTTGGGGAGAGAAAATAAAAGTGTATGATACCAACTATTTACATTAATAATCACAAATTAGGATTACAAGTGATATTGTATAATATGTATTTGTGCAAGGACACTAGAGAAGCGCATCGTTACTGTTCTCTAAGTTGAGCACAAGATGTTTTGTTGGAACAAATTATATTGATTTTTTGACTTATTTATTATTAATATAAAAAGTTACGATTGGACTAATTTGCCTTTTGTAGTACACTCTTTTCTTTAAACTAGTTCTAGTGTACGGGCGTTGCGCGTATACTAATACTAATGAGAACAAACTCATGAAAATTTACATAAATATTCAAAAAAGGTATTTGTGCTATAAAATAAAGAATCGTAAAATAATTATAATTCAAGAATAATAAATACGTATTAATTATGTTTAAGAGTTTGGATCAATTCCAGTGGTTCTCTCTTCTATTTTCACAGTCTTAATTCGATTCTGAAGCCAAAAAAATTGATGGCTCGCAGTCTTAATTAATGAAGACAATGAAAGTTGGATAACTCATATAAGAAGTTAAAACAATTCATATAAGTAAATGAAATTCTACTTTGGTGATTAAATTTATAATAAGTTTATTTCTGTAGTCAATTAAATCTAATTAGATTACTTTGATAGCTTTCTAGCTAGCTATTTCATGATGTGAGTTAGGTATACAAATTTATATTCTCACAGTGCAATCAGTCTATGTAGCCATATACTTGGTGCTCCCTAAAATAATATTAACATTTATAATATATTCTAACTACGGACATATATTTGTAGAAAAGTATGTAGTAAATATTTAACTTAATTTTTGTTCTTATGATCAAATATGCTTCAATATTCTTAGTTTATTAATTTACCTAATCGATTTGTACGGTTGCTGAACATATTCTTGGTAAATATTTAATTTAATTTTTGTTCTTATGATCAACCTAAGGGTTTTTACCTCAAAGTCCAGTTCACCTGGCCCAACATCGACAGACATATGAATCCAAAACAAAAAGAGACGTACGCAAGCAGAGGAAAATGCATGAAAGGTGAAACCAAAAGGCTTCCTTTTATACATATATACAAAGCTCCATTTACAAAGTTGTTGATACCCAATTTTTTCTCTATGTATTTTACACGCAAAATGCTTTCAAAATAACATGTACATGCTATATAAGCATGCCCAAGTGTTTTGGTATTTTTTTCTAATTTTTAAAAGATTTTAAAATCGATTTATTATCCATTTTAGCAGTACAAAAGCCAGTAATTATTCCCAAAACTATCAATTTTTGTGAATAATTTATTTTAGTCTCATATTTATACCAAAATATAGTTAAGGTGATTTTTGTATATTTTTACAAATTTCTGGTATTTTTAAAAGCTAAATTGCATACAATTACAATCTTAGCCTATTTTAAGATTAATAGCATTTCTATAATTGTAAAATTGGTTTCAATATTTTTTAATTAATATTTATATATTATTAATTGGTTCAGTACTTTTAATTTACTTTTAAAATCATTTTTACTATTTTTATAAAATAAAAGGGGTAAAATTGGCTATTTAAAATTTGGCCTCATTTCGTTTCAATTGCAGCCCATTTGCATTTCGATTATAGCTACATTAACCCCCCCTAGTTGACCCAATTTGAATCCCAACCGGGCTAGCCCAATTCCGTATCCTTAACCCATTTAACTACCCAACCCAAGCCTCCTTTAATCCAGACCGTTGATCAATCTGATCAACGGTCACGAGCTCCCCTTTCCATTTTTAATTCCCCAAACCATACCCTATTACCCATTTTGTTTAGTCCGCCGCCCTTGAATACTCTCCACTCTCAAAACTCTCTCGAAGGTTCTTCGGAACCCTAGCCTGTCTCCGACCCTTTTCCACCGTACTTTCACCGGAATCCATGGCTTCTCAGGCCATGGATGGTCTATACTCACCCCTCTCCACCATTAGACCTTGGGAGTTCGAGGTTTTGACGTTTGACTTCGATGGTTCTCTCTCAGATCTTCTCAGATCTTTGGTTCTATGGCGTTTCCGGCCATGCTCCGGCATATTCAAGCACGAGAAGCCTGATTCCTGACCTCTTTGACCCAGGATCTGACTTTTCCAAGCCTTTCTCATTTTTAGGGTTTCTCCGAAACCCTATGTTGTTAGAGGTTTTTCTCTGTTTATTTTCTTAGATCTATGGTATGTTTGTGTTCTACTGGACCTCTAAATTGTTTTCCCCAAATTTTCTTTTCAAAATTATTTATTTTGATTTAGGGTTTCTGAAAGGTTTTCAAAAAAAAAAATATATCTTTCTGATTCTTGCTGTTCTTTCCTTTATGTGTGTTTGTCTATACTATGTTCGTATATTTTCTGTTACTACGCGTGTGTTCTTCTTCTTCTTCTTCTTTTCCTACTATACATGTTATTCCTGTGCTCACATGCTAATCCTTGTTATGTTACTCTTCTACTATATGTGTTTACTATTGAGTTCATTGATTTTGTTTGCTTTACTAGACTCTGTTTGTGTACTTGCTAAGCATGTTTCATCTACTGTGGCTTAAGTTTACACCACCTCTCTTTTCCTCTGAACTTGCTTAAGTTTCGATTTTTCTAAAACATGCTCTTTTATGCTCTTAAATCAGCTTTCTTTCTTTGTTGTTTCAAACCTGCTATCCTATTTGTTTTATTTCTCATGAGGCTCTGAAGCAGACCTTTGAGTCTGTTTCAATGGCTTGCCTTCTCATCTCTATGTCTGATTCGATTTGAAACCCTAGGATTTGGGGTTTTCTTTGGCAAGTTTGATTTGGTGTTTGGACTAGGGTTCTGCATTGGAACCCTGTCTTAGACTCACTATGAGTCTACAAACTGAACTTGTTTTTCCCTTTGCTTATGATTCTGAACCTTTCAATATTACACTCTTTTCTAAGTAACATGACGACCCCTTTTGTTTGATTTGTTTGCTTTATATATGAGAAATTCTTCTTTCAAAAAAGGTTTTGCCAACTACTAATTGATTCTCAATTCCTTTAATGGGGTTTGACTGATTGTTATTGATTTTCTCTAATTGAACCATCTTTACCTTTTCTCGACTTGGTTCATTCGAACAAAGCCTGCCACTTTGATTTTACTGGCTGTTTGATTGATTCCCTTTCCTTATTTTACACAAACCGTGTACCATTGGACTTTTGCCTTAAATAACTTCCATGTTTTTACCCTTTATTGTACTGCCTGAAAAATATTTTTTCAAATCCCTTTCCTTAATTATTTTTACCCGTTTGAAATCAGAATCCCTTAATTAAAGGGAGATTGTTTTCAATATTATTTTCTTATCTTGTTCTTACTTGTTTGCTGCACTATAAAAGGGGCTCGACCCTTTAGCACTAAAACAACTTTTGAACTTTTGAAATTTTGAATCCTAAGGTCAATACTCATACTCTCACACGCATACTCTCAATCACAATACTCTTTCAATTCTCTACTCTCTTCTGAGACTTTTGTACTGCTTTGCTTGCAACTTGTCTTTTCAAGACTGCTGTTTTACTTATTTGTTTTCCCTAAAACTGGTATGTCCCAATTTAATTTCAGCTCCTTCCCTATGTGTTTACTTTACAGTTGCCATGTTCTGGTTTACTTCGTTGTTTATACTCTGTATTAAGCATGTTCTTTCTTTTATGTTTACTGCTTGCTATAAAATCCCCATACCCCCATTCCCTTATGTGTGTTGAGTTAAAGTTCATGGCCTGGCCGCATCCAAATTGCTTCCTAGGTCTGAACCTGACCTTCAATAGGTCCTAACTCCCAAACTCAAACTGACAGGCTGGTCAGGGGTGTGCCAGCATCCTAATTGCTGGGCATGACCACTAGTTTGTCATGGCTTTCCCTAATTCCCCCTCTATTGCACTTACACTTATTCTTAGACTCTAAGTTCCGCCCCCTTCCTATGAGCCTTGCCTTGGGGACCTTGAGTTCCCTCTGAACTTGGACATTTGAGGGATGGCCCTTCCACACTGCACTACAATCTGATCCTGCAAATGTAATTGGGTGTGAGCACTACCTGGAGTTCATGAAGCTCCTTGGAACTTTGACACACCCAAAGGATGAGAAAGGCTTTGGAAATCTGGTCTTTGGAAGTTGGTTTATCTCATGCTTCAGACTAGGAGTCTGAATTAGGCTCTCCTTGGTTGGAACTTTAATTTCTGATGTAATTTTTTCTTTTATTTTTATTTTTCTTGATTCATTCAGGTTGTAATAATTTGTAATAACTATTAGGGGTGTATAGTGAAAATGGGAGGGTCACTCATGTTATGCATGTGGGTAGACATCATGCTTTAGGTATTTATTTCTGCAATCACAGCCTGTTTTTTCGCTTATGCATTCACATATAGATATCCTGCCTATAAGTTTATGCATCCACATATGGAAATCCTGCCTATAAGTTTATGCATCTACATATAGAAATCTTTCCTATAAGTTGTTTCATTACTGCATTAGAAATCCTTCCTATAAGCTGTTTCATTACTGCGTTAGAATTCCTGTCTATAAGTTATGCATTTCATTAGAAATCATGTCTATTAGTCTCTTCACTTCTGTATATAGAAATCATGATTATAAGTTTCCTGCATTTCTGCACATACACATGTCATTAGGAAAACAATCCATAAGTTAAAAATAATCAATTGCATCTTAGATACCATGCTCTTGGGATTCCTGCACTTACATAACCGTTTTAGAATTAATAACGCTTAGAATTCATGCCTATAGGAGCAATCGTTTAAATCTGATTCACCCGCAAAGTCTAAAATCAGTAATAATGTTGTTAACGTCCGCATAATTGGTTTATTTCTAAAGTCAGTAATCTTCTTTAAAATCAGTATGTTTGACCTTGTTAGATATCATGCCTATAGGTTTCACCTAGGCAAACCATTAGGTAATCAATTAATTATACCAGTCTTTAATAATTACAACCAGCAGGCAGGCCTAATTCGGACTTCTTATCTGAAAATATGTGATAAATCAACCACCCCCTTTACGTAAGTTTAATTAAAGACCTAACCAGTACTTGTAAGTCATGCTAAAAAATTTCTGCTTTGAATGAGGAGGCCTATTTGAGCCTTAACTGCTATGTGTTTTTCCCCCTTAACTCCTCTTATGTGTTTTTGTTTGTCGCACTAGATTTTGTCCTTTTTAAACTTCAAAAGCCAATATCCCTTCCCTCTAGGATTAG